AACTTTTTCCACTTCCTGAACTCTGTGGCTGAAAAAAATTACTTCCCTAACCCCCTGTGTTTCATTTGTTCTTAGCTTCAACTGTGCCCCCTTTTGTTGCTTTTGTCCAATTTTGGGAACATCCTGTTTTTGTCCCCCTTGTCAATTCCTCCCCGTATTTGTAATCGTTATCATGTCCCCCCTATCTCTCCTGTCCTCCAGTGTAGTCAGGTTGATTTCCCTTAACCTTCTCATCGTAGGACATACCCTTAACCGGACTAGTCTTGTTGCAAACCTTGCACTTTCTCTAGTTTCTTTACATGCTGGCTAGGTGTGGGTTCCAAACTGGTCCCGCATACCCCAATATGGCCTAACTTACACGGTGTACAGGGTCCTGAACGATTCCTTAAAAGATGTCGGAATGCTGTTCTGAGTTTGCCAGACGCCCATATGCTGCAGCAGTATTTTGTTGATGTGCGCTTCAGGAGATGTGCCTGGTGTTATACTCACCCCAAGATTTTTTTCCTTGAGTGATGTTTGTAGTCTCTGGCCCCCTAGACTGTACTCCGTCTGCGGTCTTCTTTGCCTTCCCCAATCCTCATGACTTTGCACTTGGTGGGATTGAACTCCAGGAGCCAGTTGCTGGACCTGGTCTGCAGCCTGTCCAGATCCCTTTGTATTTCTGCCTGGTCTTCGATCGAATGAATTCTTCTCATCAACTTCACGTCATCTGCAAACAGGGACACCTCCGAGTTTATTCCTTCCGTCATGTCGTTCACAAATACCAGAAACAGCACTGGTCCTAGGACTGACCCCTGTGGGACCCCGCTGGTCACAGGTGTGTGTGTGTGTGTGTGTACTCACCTAATTGTGGTTGCAGGGGTCGAGACTCAGCTCCTGGCCCCGCCTCTTCACTGATCGCTACTAGGTCCTCTCCCTCTCTGCTTCCTGAGCGTTGTCATACCTCTTCTTAAAACTGTGTATGGTTCCTGCCTCCTTGTGTGTGTGTGTGTGTGTCTGTGTGTGTCTGTGTCTGTGTGTGTCTGTGTGTGTGTCTGTGTGTGTGTGTGTGTGTGTGGTGTGTGTTGTGTGTGTGTCTGTCTGTGTGTGTGAGTGTGTGTGTGTGTGTATTTGTGTGTGTGTGTGTGTGTGTATTAGTGTTTGTGTGTATGTATGTACTCACCTAATTGTACTCACCTAATTGTGGTTGCAGGGGCGAGACTCAGCTCCGGGCCCCCGCCTCTTCACTGATCGCTACTGGGTCCTCTCTCTCTCTGCTTTCTGAGCTTTGTCATACCTCTTCTTAAAACTATGTATGGTTCCTGCCTCCACTACTTCACTTGCTAGCTATTCCACTTGCTGACAACTCTATGACTGAAGAAATACTTCCTAACGTCCCTGTGACTCGTCTGATCTTCAGTTCCAGTTGTGACCCCTTGTCCCTGTGTACTCTCTGTGGAACATTCTATCTCTGTCCACCTTGTCTATTCCCCGCAGTATCTTGTATGTCGTTATCATGTCCCCCTGACCCTTCTGTCCTCCAGTGTCGTCAGTCCGATTTCCCCTTTAAACCCTTTTCCCCGTACGACATTCCCTTGAGCTCTGGGGCTAGCCTTGTTGCAAACCTTTGTACTTTCTCTAACTTCTTGACGTGCTTGACCAGGTGTGGGTTCCAGACTGGTGCTGCATACTCCAGTATGGGGCCCAAAAATTTCACAGTGTACAGTGTCTTGAACGATTCCTTATTAAGGGATCGGAACGCTATTCTCAGTTTGCCAGGCGCCCGTATGCTGCAGCAGTTATTTCGTTGATGTGTGCCTCGTGAAAGTGCTCGGTGTTATGGTCACCCCAAGGTCTTTCTCCCTGAGTGAGGTCTGTAGTCTTTGTCCACCTAGCCTATACTCTGTCTGCGGGCTTCTTTGGGCCCCCCCCCAATTCTTCATGACTTTGCATTTTGGGTGGATTGAATTCGAGAAGCCAGTTACTGACCACATGTCCAAACCTGTCCAGGTCTCTTTGCAGTCCTGCCTCATCCTCGTCCGATTTTTTCTTTCTCAACTTCACGTATCTGCGAACAGGACACT